AGTGCTCAACTAAGAGCCGAAAATCCAGGGTTCAAATTGCCACTCATCCATGATATCTGAGAGAAAGCAGCAGCCTTAGAAAAATTGTTGTCAACCTTAAACTGGCTCATACAGTTGTTGTGAGGATAAAAGCAAAAGACGCACACTGAGTTTGACCATTTCCCCCCCCCCAAGTATCTTAAACTACACTGAGAATCATTCATTATGTGCCAAAGGAACGTTATGATGCCCTGGTTGTGCTCCAAAAGAATATACAGGCAATGCTGCCATTTGTGATATATTGGCCCAAATCCTGTTAATTAGCATAGTAAATCACACTAGGATAGGCCAGTTGAATCAATGGGGATTTGGTGAGTCAAGTCTTCCATAAGTTCCATGGATTCAAATGAGTCTACTCTAACTGCACTTGGTGAGTCAAGTTCTATGGATTCAAATGAGTCTACTCTAACTGCATACTAAATCACAGCTACAGAAGGCTCATTCGAATCCATGGAACTTATGGAGGTGTTGACTCATTAAACTGATTCAATAGGCCTACTCTAGTGTGATTTACTCCTCTAAGCAACAGGATTTGGGCCCTGATTTTCAAGCCGTATTAAAATCCAAAGAAAGCAAAGTAATTTTTTGACAAATGAAATTCCTGTTGCTTTTTCACCTTCTTCTTCTTCCTCCTCCTCTTCCGGTCCTCCTTCAATACCTAGTATTTCTCATACCGAAACACAACATCATTAATTTTTCTTACATTTTCTCTTGCATTTCAATAATAAGATGGCATTCCAAAATACTGCATCTCACGTCTTCTGATACTTGCAGAGTTGTCCTTTCTGGTGCAAGGTTTCCTTCCTTTCAGTCTCATCAGTCTGAGCGAACAAAGAACTGGGAGAAGATCTTGGCAAATACATGTCAGATGGACCAGAAAGCATTAGCCATCTGATGATGCTCCACCACCCTCCACCCAATCCAACTAGACAACACACACCAAGGCACCATCAGGATCTGCTATGGTTAGGCCAGCCACCCAGAAGACTTCCCAGAGCAGAAGAGCGAGCTGCAAGCCATCCCCTTGTTCTTCTGTCATTCTGTTTCTGAGAGACCATTTCTCGGACAACATTTCTGAGATTACTCCTTCGCTCAGCCCACCCACTCAAAAAAGCCATGGCAAGGCTGTGCAGCTCTTCGCCACGAGAGCCTAGGTTAAATGCAGCATTTCTCATTACTCTTCTCTCATGGGAAAACCTTGTAAAGGGTTGCCATAAGTCAGAAATGACCTGATGATGATGATTAATCCTGTTACTATTTAAATATATGGTCAGCTGTCTCAAGTTCTGGGAATGGAGAATGGCGGCATATTAAAGAACTAAATAAAGGTGGCATTGTAAATAAACAAAACAAGCAAAGAGAAGGTATCTTGAAGGTGTTTTGCTGAATATTTCCCTTCACGTTGTGTTTGTGAGCGCAACATGATTCAACCACACACACACACACACACACACTCCACAGATAAGGCTCTGGGATCGTGTTAGCGTTGAGGCTTTCAACACTGAGAACGTGGCGTTGGGAATTCAAAATGGCGGCCAGGCTGCTATAAGTGTTGGCGACCTGAGGTGGACGGGAAAAAGGGAGGAAAAAGACTAGGATGCTGTGACTTCTAATGGTGACCTTCACTGAGGCAAATTTGGTAAATGTCCCTTTCCACCCCTCATTCCTCACAAATAAGGCTGAGGACTTCGAGATGACCTTTGCTCACAGTCCCATTTCAGGAAATGGCTCCCAACCTTGGGTAACCCAGGTGTTCTTGGACTGCAACTCCCAGAAGCCTTCCCCATTAGCTGTGTTGGCCGGGAATTCTGGGAGTTTTAGTCCGAGAATACCCGAGGACCCAAGGTTGGGAACCACTGTTCTAAGTCACCCAATTCCCAGCAGTCCCAGCATTGGGGTGTGTGTGTGCAGAACCCACAAAGAAAATGAGAGACAACCCGAAAACTAGAGCTTATCATTGAATTATCTCCAAAACAAAACATAAGATACAAACGAAGGAGGGTTTTCTGAGGAAGAAGCATTGGCGATTCTTTGAAAGAAACCGAGTCGATTGATTTTATTCTTTTGTAAGACCAGGGATACATTTTGTGAGATGTGGACATCTAACATTCCAGGAGGCAATGAGAGCTTCTGTATGTCTCTTTGCCCTATCGGCATGCTATTTTGGGGGGTGGGGGGACCCAAACCCCTTTGCTCATATGAATCATCCACTCATGTTTCAAAGTCCCTTCTTATCTTGCATCTCTCAGCCAGGATCTGCTTCTGTTTCATAATCACCTTTAATGGGGCAGTGGCACCTTTGCCACGCTGGCTATAAGACAGAGTAATTAAATTTAATGGAAGCCACCCTCGCTTTGAAGCTGCCCATAACTTAAGGCCATCGAGAAGAGCAATTAAAATGCAACTGCTACAGGTCTTTGCTATTAACTACTGGCTCACAGGTGATTTTAAAGAATCTAAGTTCTCTCTCTCTCTCTTTTTTTTCTTTTCTTACTCTAGCTTATAATTCACAGCCAAACTTGATAGCTTTCCAAAGTTAACTCTGATGCTCAGTTACGTCTGTGCAGGTCCTAATAACAATAGTAAAGCTTTTGAACCACTATTTTTCAAAACATGCAATTGGGCATAAAATATAATATGGCCAAAAATAACAACAAAGGGTTGCACCCAGCTGTAGTCGTGCTTAGAGTAGACCCACTAAAACCTACTGGATTTATGTTAAACACCACAAACTGGTGCCACAATGTGCCTGGAGTATATCATTTACCGGAAGAGTAGAAGTTACCTTTGTTATGAAAGCCACCTTATCGTCTTGGAATAGATTTCATTCCCCCAAGGAGCTGTAAATCATTGTGAGCACCGGTTGCACCTATGCCCACACATGAAATGTAGATACACCACGGATTTCAAATGTTGCGTTACTGAGCACACAGAACTGTTGAGTTCAGAGTGACTCTGATGGTCACTGAATACAACCTCCTGCTAGAGCAGAAAATCCATAATTGACATATGTAACAACAACAACAACTTGCTATCAAATCGTTTCTGAATTTTACTATGGTTTTCATGGTATACGTAAGTGGTTTACTCTCCCCTTCTTCTGGGATTGTGCAGCTCGCCCAAGGCTACACAGGCTAGCTTTTCTCACAGGCTCAGTGCGGGAATCGAACTCCCAACCTCCGGCTCTGCCTCAGTGTGGAATCGAACTCCCAACCTCCGGCTCTGCAGTCGGAGACCTAATTCCCTGAGCTATCCATCCAGACTTGCCTAGATAACCTCTGCCTATAGGTCGGAGACCTAATTCCCTGAGCTATCCAGCCAGACTTGCCTAGATAACCTCTGCCTATAAACTTCCAAGGAAAAAGAGTGCACCACCTTCTGATTTGCTCTGTTCCATTGCTGAAGTACTCTTACCATCATGAGATTTTTCTCAATGATGCAAAGAATAGTTTGTTCCATCTTCCAGCTCTTCAAATATTGGAAAAGAGTTCTCACATTGCCTCTCCAATTCTCATCTCCCTCAACTCGTAAGGCTTGGTTTCCAGACCTTGGTTGCCCTCCCAGGGACACATTCCAGGCAGTTAATTTCCTTTTGAACTGTGGTGTGCAGAGCTGAATGTCAAAAGAAGGTCTGTCTGTATTTAAAATATTTTACCCCACTTTTCTTCTTTGAAAGGACCCAAGGAAGCTTACATCATTAAAAGACGACATTTCAAGCTAAAAACAGAAAGCCAGCAAATACGAAAAAAGGATCAAACAGATGTTACACTAAAAACAAAAGCAGCACCAAAATTTTATTCAAAAGCAACAAGGCCCAACAACCCTTTTCGAAAAAAGAAAAATCCACTCAGGCAGTCAGTCAGTGAGGGAAAGCTTGCCTGAAAAGAAAGGTCTTTGCCTCTTTGTGGAGGGACTGCAAAGACAAGCAAAACAGTTTCTTTAAGAAGTGAAGAATGAGTGCATGCTTCATATTTTGAGTAGGAAATGTCAAAATTGTTCATACGCTTTAGAAAGAGAAGGTCATAAAGTTTTTGAATGCTTACTTGCATAGCTCTTCTCTCCATTGCTGATTCTTCTGGACACATCTCCACTAATCCGTTTACCTCGTTTCATAGTCTGAAAGGGGATTGCTTCTGCTGAGCTGTCATTCTCCATTCTACTAATTCATTGAGAAAAGAAAACGGAGGGGAGCTAGGAAAGCACTCTTTTTTTAGGAAGTGCTTAAAAGATAGTCATGAAGAATCAGGTCAGGATCTGTTCTCAGTACAGGATACGTAATGATCGGTCCAACCTACAGAAAGCCAGATTAGATTTTAGGCTGAATATTAAGAAAAATGTCCTAACAGAGCAAGTACGACAATGGAACTGATGGCCTTGGGAAGCGGTGAGCACTCCAATGCTGGAGCTTTTAAGAGAAAATTAGACTATCATCTGTCAGATCTGTTTTGCTTTTGATCCCTGCCTTGAGCAGAGGGCTGGCCTTGATGGCCTCAGAGGCCCCCTCCCGACACCATTATTGTATGATAGATCCAGCATCTTGGAAACCAGAAAAAGAAAGACTGAATTTTCAAAATTCCCCATAGGTTGTGTGATCAGTAAGAAATATATCGCACTGGATTGCTCCTCAAGTAGTCCAAAATATGATCTGTTTTCCCCTGTGTGATCACATCCTAAGCTTCTTCTTGTAGAAGCCTGGGCAGAATGACTCCCTTCTGTTTCCAAGGCCTGGTGTTGTATATGACATAAGTGTTCTAGGAAATTCCCCATAGGTTGCGTGATCAGTAAGAAATATATTGCACTGGATTGCTCGTCGAGTAGTCCAAAATATGATCTATTTCCCTGTGTGATCACATCCTAAGCTTCTTCTTGTAGAAGCCTGGGCAGAATGACTCCCTTCTGTTTACAAGGCCTGGTGTTGTATATGACATAAGCGTTCTAGAACCTTCCATTCTCAAGCCATCTGTTTGGTCTCTGGTTCCACCACCTTCTCAATCAGCTTCTCCAAGGCAAACAGAAACCATCCTCAAGAATGTCAGAGGCCAAACATTTAGACATCCCAGCTGTGATCGTTGACAATGGCTCCGGCCTTTGCAAAGCCGGTATCGCTGGGGAAAGCGCCCCGAGGTCTGTGATCACAGCCATTGTGGGTCGCTCAAAAGCTAAAGCTTCCATGCTTGGGGCCGGCCAGAAGGAATATTACATCGGCGAAGAAGCCCAGTCCAAAAGGGGAGTTTTGTCGTTGAATTATCCCATTGACCATGGCATCGTGACGTGTTGGGATGACATGGAGAGGATATGGCGGCATATATATAAGTGTGAATTGAGGATCAAAGCCAGCGACAGACCCGTCTTGCTCACCGAAGCCCCACTGAATCCCTTACAGAATCGGGAAAGGATGACGGAGATCATGTTTGAGAACTTCAAGGTGCCGGCCATGTATGTTGCGGTCCAGGCGACGCTGGCTCTCTACGCATCAGCACGAACCACAGGGATTGTCATGGACAGTGGAGCCGGCGTGACCCACACTGTCCCTATCTATGAAGGCTACTGCCTGCCGCATGCGGTATCCAGGTTAGATGTTGCTGGAAGGGATATCACCGAATACTTCATGCGGCTGCTCCTGGAGAGTGGTCATTCCTTCGTCAGCACAGCTGAAAGAGAAATCGTGAAGGACATCAAGGAGAAGCTATGTTATGTGGCTCTAGATCCCATCCTGGAAATACAAGCGAAGCCAGAATACCTGTTGAGAGAGTTCAAACTGCCAGATGGCAACGTGATCAAGATCGGGAGCCAGCTTTTCCGAGCCCCCGAGGCCCTTTTCACTCCGGCCAGCTTGGGCGTCGATGCTCCCGGGGTCCACCAGATGATCTTCAACAGCATCATGAAATGTGACATCGATCTCCGCCGAGATCTTTACGGGAACATTCTCCTCGCGGGCGGGTCCACCTTGTTTTGCGGCTTGGACGAGCGTGTCTTGAAAGAGATGCAGCTCCAGGTGCCGATCGGGATATCGGTCCGGATCATCGCACCCCCGGAGAGGAAGTACTGCGTGTGGATCGGGGCCTCGATCCTGGCCTGCTTGACCTCTTTTAGGCAAATGTGGGTCACCTTCCAAGATTACGAAGAGTTTGGCCCGGGTGTGATTCATCGGAAATGTATTTAAATAAAAACCACCCATGAATTTGACAAAACAGAAGGTGTGGCCAATACATGACCCTCCATATATATCTATATAGAGACATATATAGAGATATTTGAAAGCGGTCCTCCATATATATAGATATGAGATAAATCAGCTTCTTTTTCTCTCTCTCTCTTTTTTCTTTTTGCATTTTTGCCTGGGCAGTATTTATAAGAAAATAAAATAAATGCTTATGGAAACACCCTGTGAATTTGGATTATGGTGGTTTTTCTCTTGGGTCTTCCCATGCCATTCTACAAGGGATAAATGGTACCATCTGTCTGCTGAATTGTGTTGCACGGTGATTGAAATTTGAATTTTAAGCACTATAAAAGCTCAGGTCCAGAAACGGATGAGTCTTTTGATTTTGCCTTTTCTCGGGTTTTTAAATCCCAAATTCTTCCTGTTTATCCAGAAATTGGCAGATTTTGCTAAATTCTTATTATTAATAAGAACGCAACTGTCACCCATGTCTACTGGCCGGATTCAGTAGGTGTGCCCTAACCCTCTCAGTGTTTGAATAAAAACTGATGGATTGGTGCTTGATTTGCCCTATGCTCTTTTAGGACCCTCAAGCCCAAATCTTGTCTGCATCTGTAGCACTAGGAGCTCTGTTTTCTTTTTTAATCCACACACCAATTTTTCCAGCTAGTAGAAGCAAGCCCCACTGACTTTCTAAGGCAGTCACAGAGAAGGGAGAGAGGAGGGGACTTAAAAGGGCAATGGCCATACTCCCCTTGTGGAGTCATTCTTAAAAGGATCGTGCTTGTGATTTCCCTATGCTGACTATCTTTTCTCTCTTCCCCCTTTCTCTTTCTTGGATCTGAAGTTGGGGCACCAATTTTTCCAGCTAGTAGGAGAAAGCCCCACTGACTTTCTAAGGCAGTCACAGAGAAGGGAGGGAGGGACTTAAAAGGGCAATGGCCATACTCCCCTTGTGGAGTCATTCTTAAAAGGGTTCTGCTTGCGATTTCCCCATGCTGACCATCTTTTCTCTCTTTCCCCCTTTCTCTTTCTTGGACCTGAAGTTGGGTGAACCTGAACTCCTTCAAGTTCATGAAGAAAGTAATTTATCATCAAATAAATGCAAGCTAAGGAGTTATTTTGGAAAAATAATTTCTACAGTTTTCAAAACAAATGATGCTGAATGAAAAAGTGGTCCTAACTCAGGGAGAAGGAGGACTGGTGGGTTTGAGCCCAGACAACATCCATTTTTCTCCCAATAAAGGATGTTTCACGAACCTTGGACACAGAAGGAGAAAGTAACTTTTTATTTAACTACAACTCGCAGAATCTCCCAGCCAACCCTGGCTGGTTTTTTTTTCCATCTTTGCACAAGCAGGTATTGAAAAAGGAGAATATTCAATGAAAATGTATAAGGTACAGAAAGGTGACAGCCACCTCCATTAACTCTGCCTAATTTTGACCCTCACCCAACAATGAAGGCTGTCATATGTTCTGACCGAGGAAGTCCAAGACCAAGGAATGTCCCAGAAGTACATTAATCCCAACCAACACTGAGATTAGAAGAAGCAAATGAGTTTACATCTCGATACTTTTTTAGTCTCCTGGTTACAGGCTACTTCTGGTTTCCTGGAGACCACCAAACAGTTGCTAGGAACTACCTCATCCATTGTTAAGTAAGAGCTATAGCCAGCAAGTTTGGGGCTATCTTAGACCAGAGGCTGCCATCATTCATGCAGATGTACTGCTTAGAGCACGAAAACTCTGCCTGTCCATTCTTGATGCTTTTCATCCTCGAAAATCCACTCACGGCTTCTTGGAGAAGACTCAGTTTCTTAAAGCATTTGCAGTATGCTCGTGCATCACTAGGAAAAAGGGAGACGTCCCTTTTTGCAACTCATGGGGTTCTAGAATTTTGATAGCGAAGGATTCTTTTCTACAAGACCGAAAAGAAAGGCGAGAAGCGGTGGGAAACCTTCATTTCCCTGATCTTTGGATTGTGAGAATGCATTGCGCCGGAACACCAGAACTTCCTGCTGTCATCATCGACAATGGGTCTGGGCTGTGCAAGGCTGGGATCTCAGGAGAGGTTGGCCCACGGCACGTCATGACACCCATCCTGGGCTACCCGAGAAGCAAAGTATCAAAAAGCAGGCAGGCAGAATATTATATCGGCAACGAAGCCCAGGAGAAGCAAGAATGGTTGTCCTTGAGACACCCCATCGAGGGCGGCCTGATTACCTCATGGGATGAGATGGAGAAGATCTGGAAGCACATTTATGACAAAGGCTTGGGAGTCAAAGCCTTTGAAAGGCCCGTGTTGATGACAGAGTGCCCTTTGAACCCCAAAGAGGATCGCGCCAAGATCACTCAGCTGATGTTTGAGCACTTCAAGGTGCCCGCTTTTTATCTCTCCATCCAGGCCATATTATCTCTCTACGCCTCGGCACATTACAACGGCATAGTAATGGACTGCGGTTATGGAGCGAGCCACGCGGTGCCCGTATACCAGGGATACTGTTTGCCCCATGCTGTGGGCAAGTTGGAGGTTGGTGGCAGAGATATCACCGAATACCTCAGAGAGCTCCTTGCGGAGAGACGTCAACACCTCCGGAACATTCCGGAATGGAACAGCGTGGTGGAAGACATCAAGGTCAAGTTGTGCTATGTCAGTTTAGAACCCCGCCAGGGGTCGGAGGGACTGACCAAAGAGTACAAGCTCCCTGATGGGTGTCAGATCACAATTGGAGATTCACTTTTCCTCGCCCCAGAGATTCTTTTTACGCCAAGCATCGTCGGCCGGAATGGCTACGGACTTCACAAAATGATTACCAGGAGCATTAAAAAATGTGACCCAAGCATCCACAATGTCCTTTATGGGACTGTGTTGCTTTCGGGCGGCTCCTCACTCTTTCCGGGATTAGATGAGAGAATCTTTAAATTGATGGAAATACAGGTCCCCCAAGGGGTCCCCATCAAGGTCATTTTGCCCCCAGACCGGTGGTTCTCAGCATGGATCGGCGGCTCCATCATAACATCCCTGAGCACTTTCAAGCCAATGTGGGTCACCGCCTCCGACTACCAAGAATTTGGACCGAACATTGTGCAACGGCGGTGCTTTTAAAGAGGGCTTAGGGACTTATTAATACGATGAACAAGCAGCCACAGCTATGGGTCGTTTCAAAACTTACTTCTTTTAAAGGTTTAAATTTTTAAAAAAGAGCTTTTTACAAGTTCTAAAGAACCGCATGGGGTTTGTCATTCATTTTCCTTGTCTGGCTGTTGAAACACTGGTTCTTCCTTTCCTGATTCTGCTCGAGAAGGAGGGGGTGGGGAGATATTATACAGCCTCATCCCTTTGTTAGTGTGGTCTGGATTTCTGCAAAAAGTCTCATATGCATTTTAGCAATGTGAAGAGTTATTTGTGCAGCCAGATGTGTAGGGACCAGTTTAATTGGCTTCATCAGCTTCAGGAAGGGCAGGGGACTTTCTCTCTTGAGAACCTGCCTCAATGGGAAGGCTTTGAGTCTTAGCTAGGCCAATCTCCACCCAAGCTTCTTGCTCAGAAAGAAAGCTCCCAGCTGGCACTGGGGCAGGAACAGGAAGCTTGGGTGAAGCTAGGCCTAGCTCGGCCTCAAAGCCTTCCAGTTGAGGCCTTTCTTCCAGGTGAGCCACATTCAGGCATTTGTAAGGTTCCTGTAAGTTAGGTAGAACTTCCAGAATGGAATATTGTGGTATTTGTAGTCCAGGAAATCAGAAAAACCCATCCCCAGGTGCTACCCTTGTGCTAACTCTGTAAATGCAGAGCCTCTAAGCAGAACAAGTCTTATGCTAGCTCAACCAATACAGGTTTGAATCATTTTGCATATTATGAGCAGTTGCTCGTTGGGTTTTATTGCTTTTGAACCTTTTTTTCCCCTTAGATCTTGAGGGAGCATGCATGGCTCTCTT